GTGGAGCCTGGGGGTGTGGAGCCTCGTGGTGCTGAGCCGCAGAGTCCGGAGTCTGGGGGTTCTGGGTCTGGTGGTACTGACCCTGTGAGTCCTACTCCTGGAGGAGCCCTCTCCTTGGAGCAGCAGCGTACATGGTACTTAGAGTACTGCAGCCTCCGGAGAGGTTCCACTCGGGCCGGACGTACTGCTGGGACTGGTACTAGTGCTTCTTCTCCCGCTCGGGAGCTCCCCTCCCGCGAGCGGATCCGTGAGTGGTACGAGCGGCACTGCACTCTTCGGAGTGGCGTGCCTCGTGTTGCGGACCCCACTGGCGTTGGAGCTGGTGTTGCTGCTCGGTCCCGGCCGTACTTCGTTTCGCTCCTTCAGCAGGTTCTTGGTCAGCTCCCTCCTCCTTGTCCTCCTCTCTCCTTAGCGTGTCCTCCGTCTGTCCAGCTGCAGTCGCAGCTACCGTCTGCCTCCTCTCTCCCTGGTCCTGCTCCTTACACTGGTCCGACTGGAGGTCTTACTGAGCGTCATGAGCCTGAGTCTCGCCCTGCGTCACCTGTCCGCACTGCTCTCTCTAGCAGTCGTGTCCAGCGTCAGAGTCTTCCTGTTGTCCCAGGCACTCACCGGATGGCGCTTCGTCCGTCCACTGCTCCACAGCGTGTCCCACTGCCGTCTCCTCCTACTTCTTCTCTTCCTGTTCTTGCTGACCCTGAGTCAGACTCTCTTCGTACTGCCAGTCCTACTGTCACGCGTCTCCTGGCTACTGTTGTCACTGACCCTTCCTTTGAGTCTACTGCTGCGTCCGCCTTAGTTGCTGAGCTTGTCGACTTTGCTGCTCGTTGTCGTCTAGACTACGCTGCTAGCCTAGTTGCTGAGTCTGAGTCTGTCTGTCCTCCATCCGTCGGGGGTGAGTGTGCTCTTGGCACTGACGTCCTTGAGGACAGGCAGGAGGAGTTTGAGTGCTTTGCTGCCGCTTTGCCCCATCTCGTGTCCATGCTTGTTGCCCCTAAGGGAGACCCGGATGCACCAGACATCCCGACCCCACGCTCTTACGCAGAGGCGATGGCCGGTCCCTACTCCTCTCAGTGGCAGTCAGCCATGGACACAGAGATGGCTTCCTGGAAGTCCACTGGCACCTACGTCGACGAGGTTCCCCCACCTGGGGCGAACATCGTCAGTTGCATGTGGATTTTCAGGGTGAAGCGGCCGCCGGGCTCTCCGCCAGTCTTCAAGGCGCGTTACGTTGCACGAGGCTTCAGTCAACGAGAGGGAGTTGACTTCTTCCAGACCTTCTCCCCCACCCCGAAGATGACCACTCTTCGGGTTCTGCTGCACGTCGCCGCTCAGCGTGACTACGAGCTCCACTCGCTTGACTTCAGCACTGCTTTCCTGCAGGGCAGCCTGCACGAGGAGATCTGGCTGCGCCGTCCACCTGGCTTCACTGGGTCGTTCCCTCCTGGTACCCAGTGGAGCCTCAGACGGCCAGTCTACGGTCTCCGCAGGCGCCTCGTGAGTGGCACGACACACTGAGGACTACACTTGCTGCTCTTGGGTTCGCGCCTTCTACTGCTGACCCGTCGCTGTTTCTACGCACCGACACCTCACTGCCGCCGTTCTACGTCCTTGTGTACGTCGACGACTTGGTCTTTGCTACTGCTGACACTGTGGCACTCGCCCACGTGAAGTCGGAGCTGCAGAAGAGACACACGTGCACAGACCTGGGTGAACTGACAAGCTATCTTGGCTTGCGGATCACCCGGGACAGAGCACGCCGCACCATCACCTTGACTCAGTCACACATGGTGCAGCAGGTCCTTCAGCGCTTCCGCTTCACGTACTCCTCGCCTCAGCCCACTCCTCTGCCTACCGGTCACTCGCTCTCAGCTCTGCCTTCGGATGAGTCCGTAGAGCCGAGTGGCCCGTATCCAGAGCTTGTGGGTTGCCTCATGTACCTGATGACCTGCACTCGACCAGACCTTGCATACCCTCTCAGCATTCTTGCACGCTATGTCGCTCCCGGCCGTCACCGGAAGGAGCACATGGATGCAACTAAGAGGGTGTTGCGCTACTTGTGCAGTACGTCGGGCATGGGGCTAGTGCTTGGAGGGCGAGTCCCAGTTGTTCTCACTGGGCACTCAGACGCTTCTTGGGCAGACGACCAGGCTACTCAGCGATCGTCTCAGGGCTACTCCTTCAGTCTTGGCTCTGGCTCTGTTTCTTGGCGTTCTACTCGCTCTTCTTCTGTTCTCAGCTCCAGTTGTGAGGCTGAGATCTACGCCACAGCCATGGCGGCCCAGGAGCTACGCTGGCTCACCTACTTGCTGACCGACCTTGGAGAGCAGCCTCGTTCTCCTCCAGTTCTGTACGTCGACAACAAGGCAGCCATTGCCTTGTGTGAGGAGCACAAACTGGAGCACAGAACGAAGCACATTGCTCTGCGTTACTTGCTTGCTCGAGAGCTGCAGCAGCGTGGTCAGCTTCGTCTGCGTTACGTGGCATCTGAGGCCAACACTGCTGATGTGTTCACCAAGGCGCTTCAGCCTTGTGACCATCAGCGCTTTTGCACTCTTCTAGGCCTTGTGCCTACTGGACCTCACTTGCTTACTTCTTGAGACTGTTTGTACTGTGATCTATATACATATACCAGCATGTTTTCTCCTGTTAGGTTGTGATCATTGTACCTCTTGTTCTATTATAAACCTGCATGTGAACTGGTCTTGTGACCACTTGCTTGTGCTCTGAATTTGTGTGGTATCCTTGAGATCCACCCTGAGCTTGTTTTACCTTGCTTTGCCTTGACTGGTCTTGTGACCCCTAGTTCTCCCCCACTTTGCCTATGTGGGTGTGTCAAACATTATATATGTTGTGTTAGTTTAGGCTACAGTGGGTTAGCCTATAGAGGGTACACAATTCTAGGGTTAGGTTTTGACCTATTCGTACCCAACTGCCATTCTAGTCAATCATTCCAGTTTCGTACTTCTGAGAAACGCTGCATCGTCGCAGAGTCTAAACATGGCTGTCGATAAAGCATCGACGCTTGTGCGTTGGGCGTGTGCTTCATACAACTCCTTCTAAGCACCTTGTTTAATGTCTGTGCAAGAATGGATGTCAATGCAACACCATACCACAACGGATTCACCATGTTGCGCAACCCCCAGGCCTGAACGCTGCATCGTCGCACAGTCTAAACATGGCTGTCGATAACGCATCTACGCTTGTGCGTTGGGCCTGTGCTTAATACAACTCCTTCTAAGCACCTTGTTTAATGTCTGTGCAAGAATGGATTCCAATGCTACACCATATCACAACGGATTCACCATGTCACGCAACCCGCAGGCCTGAACGCTGCATCGTCGCACAGTCTAAACATGGCTGTCGATAACGCATGTACGCTTGTGCGTTGGGCCTGTGCTTCATACAACTCCTTCTAAGCACCTTGTTTAATGTCTGTGCAAGAATGGATGCCAATACAACACCATCCCACAACGGATTCACCGTGTCGCGCAACCCGCAGGCCTGAACGCTGCATCGTCGCACAGTCTAACCATGGCTGTCGGTAACGCATCTACGCTTGTGCGTTGGGCCTGTGCTTCATACAACTCCTTCTGAGCACCTTGTTTAATGTCGGTGCAAGAATGGATTCCAATGCAACACCATACCACAACGGATTCACCATGTCGCGCAACCCCCAGGCCTGAACGCTGCATCGTCGCACAGTCTAAACATGGCTGTCTTTAACGCATCTACGCTTGTGCGTTGGGCGTGTGCTTCATACAACTCCTTCTAAGCACCTTGTTTAATGTCTGTGCAAGAATGGATGCCAATGCAACACCATACCACAACGGATTCACGTTTGTTACTATTGATAATCGTGTTAGAATGTCGTTCGCTGGCCCTAAACGATTGTGGCAAAGCCTAAAAGTGCACAGTACATCTGTCACAAGTAATAATTCTGGACGGTCGTTGTGTGTGTGACGTAAGAATCACCGATTAACTTACCCCAACCTCGTGGTAAACCATTTGCAACTTAGAGTTTGATGAAATGCATTGTTGTATGTTTGAATAAAATTTAGTGATTTATGCGTTGGCAAGCGTGATTGGCCGACGCATCTCAAACGATTTCCCCCGCAACACAGTCATCAGCCAAGAGGTACTTCAGCCATTGAGCGGCTGAGATCGAGCGGTAGGTGGGTTTATGCCAGGGTGGCTACACGTACACCGTCCAATATAGCCTGATAAGGTTACATTACTCTCTCCAGTCTCGCAACCCACCCCAACCACCCTCGTGTCCCACCCACCTGCTTCCGTCACTCCGTGGACCAACACTTTGACGCTGCTCGTTGCCTTGACACACGCCTCTCCAGATCGGCCTTAGCGCGAAGCATAGTGGCTACTATGACAGATTTAGTTGAAGCGGCGGTTTTCGGAAACACATAACAGTGATAGACCGTCGATTATCCCATCGTGGGATTCAGTTGCAGAACCCTTTCGAAACCGGCTCAACCCTTCCGTTGCTCCTCCTACAATTACCATGACACGTGGAACACGTAACCAAGCAATGGAGGAGGAACAGGCCGGCCGCCGCGCGACAAGGAGGACGTCTGAACAAATCGATAGGGAGTGTGGTGGCGGCGCTAAAAAAACTAATGCGTCCGTCGCTCGTGGCATTGGGCAGAAAGAAGCGGCGGCAAAAAAGGTCGCGCACGGTCAACAGGAGGCCGGCAAGAAAGTGGAAGACAAGGGGCCTAAACCAACGCCACGCAAGCGTGTTTCTACAATGAACAAAGATGCGGATGTTGCCTCTTCTGGAACCGAGCCCGGTCCGAGTAAGACGGCACCACTGGTGGCAACGAAGATCCGGGGCGAGGGAGCGCGAGTCTTGCACTCCCGTCGGCGGAGATGGAGGGATCGGCGACGGAGGAAATCACGGAGGCGATCCCCGCGTCGAGCACGCCGCAACCAAGGAGTCCGAGGCGGCGGCAACGCAACACCATCTGACGCTGTTCCAGCCGACCATGGTCGAAGTTTCTGCAGCCGTGCTGGATAAGGACAAGGTGGGGGAGCACGAGTCGGTGGGGCTGGTCGGTGGATCTCCACCTTCTGGTGGACGGGGGAGGCGTAGGCAGAGGAAGAGCGATGGGGAGGACGATTATGACACCGCCGTGCCCGGGGACCTCATTACGCGGGCGAAGAGGCGGCAGACGACAGGTAGTGCTGACGATGCCGGAGGCGCGGCAGTTGGGACACCGCAAGGCGCCAAGGAAGCTAGTGGCAAGGCGGGCGGTCAAGCATTGCGCCAAAAGGGCCGACCCGCACCAAGAAAAGCATCCGGCGGAAGGAGAGGCAAGAAAGTAGCGACGGGAACAAAGCCGAAACGGGGCGATGAAGACCCCGGTGATGCGGAGGAGGAGGATGAGGAGGAGGATGCGGAGGGAGAGGAGGATGAAGATGAGGAGGAGGAGGAGGATGAGGATGAGGAGGAGGAGGAGGAGGAGGAGGAGGAGGAGGAGGAGGAGGAGGAGGAGGAGGAGGAGGAGGAGGAGGAGGAGGAGCAAGGTGACGATGAGGAGGAGGATGTGGAGGAGGAGGAGGAGGAGGAGGAGGCAGCAGAGGAGGATGAGGAGGAGGAGGAGGAGGAGGAGGAGGAGGAGGAGGAGGAGGAGGAGAAGGAGGAGGCAGAGGAGGAGGAGGAGGAGGAGGAGGAGGAGGAGGAGGAGGAGGAGGAGGAGGAGGAGGAGGAGGAGGAGCAGGAGGAGGAGCAGGGTGACGACGAGGAGGAGGATGTGGAGGAGGAGGAGGAGGAGGAGGAGGAGGAGGAGGAGGAGGAGGAGGAGGAGGAGGAGGAGGAGGAGGAGGAGGAGGAGGAGGAGGAGGCAGCAGAGGAGGAGGAGGAGGAGGAGGAGGAGGAGGAGGAGGAGGAGGAGGAGGAGGAGGAGGAGGAGGAGGAGGAGGAGGATGTGGCGCCAGTGAAGGGACGGGGCGGGCGTGGCAGACGGGTGAGTGGTACAGGGAAGGAGGGGGGCCGGACTCGCCCTTCCCGAAAACGCGGGGCAGTTGACGCTGCGCGCGGCCAAGCATCGGGCAAACCGAAGGCGCGTAAGGTGAAGGTCGAAAGTGAAGGGGTTGGTAAAAAGCAAAGGAGCCAGGGAGCAAAAGGGGATGGAGGAGGAAAGGGTGGCCGCGCCAAAGGGATTCCAGTGGGTACCAGCAAGAAAGAACCTGCCGATAAACGTCGCAGCGTCTGCCAAAGCACCCCGCGGAAAGGTGGCACCGAGAAGGCGCAGGCTGCCCCAAAACCGAAGGGACAGCAGAAAGGTGAGCATTGTGTCCAATAAAACTGGCGTGACGTGTTGAACCATATGCTAAATCGTGCCAAAAAACACCCTTTTTTCACATTTTTTCTCCCATGCAGGGAAGGAGAAGGTCGACGAATTTGCCAAGCAAGGTAAACCCTCTTGTTTCAAACCAGTACAACCCTGAACCCGATCTAGATTCAAACCTTTCTGAATATGCATGCATGTCTGGCCCCGCCTTGAAACCGATCGACTCTAATTTTTTTTTTCCGGCTCCCTCTACATCTCAGCCCCTCGCATTACAGGCATTGGGTCGCCCGTAAGCGTGCAACGAATGCATCAAACGAAGGCTGCCGGAAGAGCGAGTGTTACACCGCTCTCCTCCGGAGCACCAAGGTACTACACGCCATGGGCCGGCCCGAGCAAAGTCGCTGCGACGGCACCAGGCGCGCCAAGAGGAGAGGAATCCGAATCCCCTCCACCCGCCCCCGTCACGCAGTCCCCACTCGCCTCACCCTCGTACCAATTTTGGCAACTCCACGCTTCTCCTGTCCGGGGCAGGGCGGTCTCCCCTCTCGCCGATCCTTCGCGTGGGCATCAGGCAGGCAGTTATGCCAATCCCTTCCCTGAGCTCCCCTTTTCCCGCCAGCGTGATAGTGTGAGGTTACACTGGACTGCTGCAGAAGACGTTGATCCCCTTGGCCAATGGGGGGATTCTTCCCACCCTTTTCCTCCGCTCATGGGTGCCCTAGGTGAAAGTGCGGAGCACGAGCAGTTTGTTACACGGGAGGAGTTCCAGGCGCTGCGGTCTGAGATGTACGCCATGTTTGCACAGCTCGGCCTACGTCGTGGAGTACCTGCCAGCTATGCCGGCGGGTCGGCAGCCCTGCCTATGGCTGGTACCCCGCCGCCGATGAGCGCCGTGGACAAGGCACGAGTGCTAGTGTTGCAGGAGGCAAACCCATTCCCGGTATGTGGCGGGCCACATGGGGAGGGTTGGGGTTGACGTGGCAACAAGGGCGGGGTTGGGGCTGACGTGGCGGTATCGAAGGGAACACGGGAGCGCCGCGTGACGAGGCGACGCGTATCAGGTGGGTGGGGGGTAACGTGGCATGGGGTGGGTGGGTGTGACGTGGCAAGTGGCGCGGGTTGTTGGTGGACGTGGCGGATGCGGGTTGGGTGTGACGTGGCAAAAGGTGAGGGTTAGGATATGACGTGGCGGTGTGAAAGGGTGAAAGGGTGCAAGGGAGTGCCGCATGACGGCGCGAGGCGTTTCAGGTGGGTGGGGGGTGACGTGGCTCTTGGTGGGGGGTGTGACGTGGCAAGTAGGGCGGGTTGTTGGCGGATGCAAAAGGGTGTGACGTGGCAGAATGTGAGGGTTGGGGCTGACGTGGCGGTTTGGAATGGTACACGTGAGCGGCGCGTGACGAGGCGACGCGTGTCAGGTGGGTGGGGGGTGACGTGGCATGGGGTGGGAGGGTGTGACGTGGCACGTGGGGCTGGTTGTTGGTGGACGTGGCGGATGTAGGAGGGTGTGACGTGGCAGAATGTGAGGGTTGGGGATGACGTGGCGGATGCAAGTGGGTGTGACGTGGCGGAAGGTGAGGGTTGGGGATGACGTGGCGGTTAGAAATGGTACACGTGACCACTGCGCATGACGAAGCGAGGCGTGTCAGGTGGGTGGGGGGTGACGTGGCTTGTGGTAGGGGGGTGTGACGTGGCAAGTGGGCCGGGTTGTTGGTGGACGTGTCGGATGGCGCAGGGTGTGACGTGGCAAGTTCAAACAGTGTTGCTAGTCAACATCCCATGGTCACGCGGCCACCCTCATAACTGCTGGTTTCTCTCTTCCATGTCGTGTTGTATACCTTACACCCCTGCGCAGAACAAAGCCTACTTAGTGTGCTCTCAGCTCATATTTCTGAACCCGCCGGAGAAAATACAGTACTACCTTGCACCGGAGGAAGTGTTCGAAGCATTCTCTGTCCACTTGTCTGCAGAAGGGCTCGGGGCAATGAAGCTGCTGTGGTTGCACAATGACAAGTCCACCATGGGAGTCTTCAACCACCAACTGTCCTCAACAAGGTCAACTATCAACTCCACCCTCAGGCCAGCAGCATACACCGCCATGGGCCTTGCCGATTACAGCCATCTCGTGGATAGCCTGCCCACTGAGCTACACCCAACGACCTGGTTCGATCAACTCCTAGCCGAGTACAGAGATGGTATGTGTAGTGCAACTCGAAAACACAATATGCCCTACCATATGCCCCTTGGCAGCTACATATCACCGTGCGATGTGGCTCACCCTGACTCTCATCCCCCCATTTGATTTCTCTACAAAACTCTTTCCAACCCATACCCTCCCTGCCAAAAAGTAGAATAGTGGGCCCTCAACTGGCACTTTGACAAGGCCACCAGGACACCCTTCAGCAACCCCTTGTTCGCTTATGCGTTCAAGCTCTCCTTCAAGAGGGGCGGGGCGGTGTTCACCAAGTTCAAGAGCCGCATGGTGGCATGGGGCCTGTTTTCGGTAAGGATGTAGATATGTATTTGTACCCCCATGCCTCATCCCCTTAACCCCTTGCCTGTACTTCAGCTAAAACCCTGGTCGATTAGGCCTTTGCAGTTACGTAGATAGTGACGACTGCATCACCGCTTTCAGTTGCCTCATTTACCCGTAACCTACCCTCCTCATAAACCATCCACCCAACCCTACACCACATTGCAGATCGAATGGCCCCTTCTTCAGGATAAGTGTCGCAAGCGAATCTGTAGTCAGCCGGAGCAGAACAGGCCAGACTACCAGGAGTGGTGCGAAAAGGTCAAACAGGTGATCCATTTTGCTGTCGTGGAGCGGAGGATCCCCCACGATCCGGCTATGGGTGCGTTCGTCTTTCCGAACAAGTTCCTCATCGACGATGGCGACCTTGGAGATGTCGTCCTTGCCCACCGGGCGCTTTCAAGGCCCGCCAGTGTGTAGGCTATTTGACCTGGTGCTAAGACTGCTTGTTGCTAGAATGCTGAATAATGGTTCTTGTAAACCGCAATAATAAATGCAATTTTGAAATCCTCAATATCCAAAATGAACAAAAACAGAATTTAGTTTTGAATAATTTGGTCACGAATTTGCAACATAACGGATTGCGCCCGAATGTCATCCAGAAGAGCTCGCGTGCCAAATTGGAACTTGAACCGAGCCAAACCTTGTCGCGAGATGTGTCTCGGAGCTCCTATCAAATGACTCAAACCGTCGGTCCAAATTGGCTCCGGATTATTTTACGCGAAGACAATCGAAATCAAAATTCGTCCAAACTTGGCATAGGGTTTTTGTGATGACCCCCCAGGCCAACATGCCTGTAACCCTTCCCTAGGATCAATCGAGGATCACTAGTAGACCTCTGACGAAGAATTCCGTCGACCACCGACTGTAACTCCCGTGCGAATTCTATTGACTTCGACACTTCGCTGCCGAGTTTCAAACCGAACGCCACCCGAGATCGATTTCGCCAAACTGTCCCCAATCTGTCCCCAAACTGTCCCCAATCTGTCCTGACAAGACACTTGCGGGACACTTGAATCGAAAGGTCTCCAGTTCGAAACTCGTGTGCACCATAACTAGCGCCTTAGCAGAAACTGTCCTGAATCTATCATGAGACACTTTCAGGACAGATTTGAAGGTCACGAGTTCGAATCCCAGCGTAGACATTGTGTTGCTCATGGCAACATTTCCTTCTAACACACCCAGCTATCTTCATTTGGCGTGCGGTCCTTCCAGCGAACGAGGAACTCGATCCTCTTGATGCCTGTAGGGTGACGAATCCGATGGATCAGAATCTTCTCGGGCTCGAAGATCGGCTCTGATGTAGGGCGAGTAATTGATGGTGGGCGATGTCGTGGCAGTTGGCTTGTGGTCAGAATGTACGGGCAAAGCAGGCTGACGTGGAACGATAAGCTGATGTACCAGTCTGTCGGCAACACCAAATGGGTGGTAAATGGGGTGATCATGTGGCTGATTTGTAACGGTCCACCGTATTGCGGTCGAAGTTTCGGTACGATGGGCAGTCTTAAATTTTGTATGTCGAGCAATACGTAATCTCTTGACCGGTACGTGACGGGGGGGGCGGTGGTGGTCAGCGTTTCTCTTAACGATGACATTTGTTTTTTTTTTTTTTTTTGCTTCTGCTGCTCACGTTTTGGCAGCTTGCAGTATCTCGACGAACTGTTGAGCGTGTGGCGTGGGGTTGTCCGGACTCGGCGTCATGGGCATTGTTGGATTTGCCCGTAGTTCATGTAAAACAGGGACAGCTTCGTCGTCGCTTGCGTGGCGTTGTTGTAGGCGAACTCAATCAGCGCCAGCTGCTGCTCCTATGTTTTTGGGTCGTCGCACGTGGCATGAATGTATTGTAGTGCACGATGGTCTATCCGTACTGTCATGTCGGCTGGGCGCGAAGGTACTGTAATGCACGATGGTTTATCCGTACTGTCACGTCGGCTCCTGTCAGGTAGCACCGCCATACTTTGAACGCGTGCACGATTGCAAGCATCTCGCGGTCGTGTATTGGGTAGTTGCGTCCGGGCGGGTGAAGTTTGCGGGACTCGTGGATGATTGGCTGAAGGTCATTTTCGAAGTCTTGCAACAGTAGTGCTCCTACAGCGATGTCGCTAGCATCGGTGATGAGCTCGAACAGACAGTGGAGATTTGCGATGTGAAGCACGGGCGGTGAGCACAAAATATTTTTGAGGGCTGAGAAGGCAGCTTGTTCTTTCTCCCCCCACGTGTACTCAACCCCCTTCCTCAGAAGGTCGGTCAACGGGGCAGTCAACTGCTCCATGTCGGGGGCGAACCGTCGCACGTAGTTGATGAACCCCAGAAAACTCAGCAACTCGGTCAAGTTGGTCGATGCGTGCCATACTTGAATCGTCGAGATCGTTTCGGGTCTATTTCCACTCCGTTGGCTGAAAAAACATGCCCAAAAAACTGCAGTATGTCCTGTAGAAACTCACGCTTAGAGGCTTTGGTCAGTATGCGGTTCTCACTCAGCATTATCAAAACTGCATCGATGTCATGTATGTGCTGTTCTCCGTCTAGGCTGTAGATCAGTATGTCGTCTAAGTAAACGATCACACACTTATCTAAAATTGGGCGGAAGGCTTCGTTCATGGTCATTTGGAAGGTCCCAAGGGCGTTGGTCAGTCTGAAAGGCATTACCGTCTATTCCAACGATCCGTAGTGGGTTCAGAAGGCAGTTTTTGGGCACTCGGGCGGATTGAAGCGGATCTGGTGGTAACCCCCTCGAATGCCAATTTTCGAGAAAACTCGGGCTGTTCAAAGTTGGTCGATTAGTTCATCGGCTCGCGGGATGGGGTAACGGGACTTTATGATAACTTGGTTCAGTGCACGGTAATCTATGCACATGCAAAAACCCCCGTCTTTTTTCTGTGTGAATAGTATCAGTACGGCAAAGGGCGACGAACTCGGGCGAATGATTTTTTTCTCGAGCAGGTAATCCAGCTGTTTCCGTAGTTCGTCCAGTTTGGGTTGGGTCAGTCGGAACTGTCGTTGTACAGCTGGCTATGCCCCCAGTTTTAGTTCTATCCTATGGTTGTGCGGTCGCTGAGGTGGCAGTCCCTCCAGTAGATCATCCGGAAAAATGTTGCTGCACTGCTTCAGTAGTGCTGCCAAGTCATCTGGTACGTCAGTGAGTAGCTTCTGTAAATCGCTCGGTTTGTCTGGTGCCTCGGCTTCCTAAATGTCAACCGCATACACGTCAGCTCCTGCCGCTACGATGTGTTTCATCGTGATCGCGTTGACACGCACCGACAAAGACTCAGGCGAGCTCCAGCGAGATAAGGCGATGTTGTTACCGTTCACTCGTCGTCCAGTCGATTTGCGGATTGTGTCGTCGCAGCCCATCACGACCGGATAAAATGTCGGTCCCGTCGAGGGTCGTTGCGAGCATTTCCTGGGTAAAGGTGAAGTTGCCCACCGCATAGGATCCGAACTCG